TTCATTCTCGTTACCCCGAGTCTCTCTCTACACAAGACCACGAGCTCTCGCAAAGGAAAAGTTCCTGTGTCTCAGAAATTTACAGGTGGTGTCACACTCACCCGTATATGGCAGGTAATACTTTTACCTGCCATATATGTAAGAAAACTGAACGCAGAGAGATTGAAGATTCTATGGCTTTTGGCATAAATAGTGCAATTACCATTTATTTCATAAAACAGATTGAAAAGGTTTGCCGGTTTCCCTAAGATATGATAACATTCAACAGTTAACGGTGATAGCATTAAACAGTTGTGACCATACTCAAAAGTCGGATACAATGGGTATATTTACGCGCAATAAACTGTTTTTCTTTTTACTTGCAGCATAAACAATACTACAGGAATAAATTTTCGTACTTTTTTCAGAAAATATTTTTCGCATGTTTTAAAATGTTCTAGTCTAGTTTTGAAGACATAAAACGCCTATTCTAAAGAGAACCCATTGTTACCAGGGAAAACTATTATTGAAACTAATTTGGCATTTAGTAACATTTTAACTGAATCCAAAACTCCAAAATTAAAAATAATTTTTATTTTTTTATTTTTTAACGTTGGAGCCTATCAGTGGCCGAGTGGATATACCACTAAACACTGGTAGTTGGACGCGTGTTTGTGCCATGCAAACGGATTGGCGACGTGGAGTTTTCTAGATTATCTTCACGTTAGTAACATCAAACTAGGGTACAGTTTCCCATAAAAGACTTCCCGGGAGGCATTTCCCACTCGGTAGATCGTACGTGTGGCGCGCTGCCGGGATCGAATAAAGCTAATTCTGTTTCCACTCTATGGGCACTCTAAACATCTTTTTAATCACTCAAATTCCGAACTCAGCCAAACCCATAATGGTAGTAATCGAGTAACGAAACAAGGGGCCAACACATACAGGACAGTACCAGCCATAAACACTTCCTAATGGTTTCTGCCCAAATTCGATTTCAAGTCCCAATGACAATAAGTTGATGTCTTAATGCTGCAGCAATCAGCCTATGTGATTAAACGGGTATTCAGTCTGAAAAGTCTAACTAATGCGAAAGAAATTTAATGAAAAAACCCCAAATTTCATAAATAAATCGGAAAAATTAAATAGAAATTAAGTTATATTCTAGGAAAAAAGTAACTTACGTTTTTCGGTATTTCTGTCGTTAGAAAAGTCGAAAAAGAGAAAATAATGTTGCTAAAAATTCCTACAAATAAAAACGCACACTTTAAAATCTTCAATCCTTTGCCATATATGCCAATGTAGAAAGACGTTGCAGTGATTGTCAACTGAAACAAGTAATAAACTGATAATGTTGGATTAATCATTTCGTCCATGTCGAGAAGAATGTCACAATATTGGGCGTGTTTCTGAATTATAAAGCGATAATCTAATGGTTCGCCATTTTCTATGGTATCTTCCATTTTTTCACACAGCGACGACATGTTCTCATGTAGTGTGATGCCTATATCTAAGATGTCGAGCAGAGATATCATTAAAAATCCAACTCCGTAAATTATGCACCACTGCATTAGAATTAAATGAAAGACAATTTGACATACATTGTCTTCATTCACGACAAATCCAAGAGTTATTGTAAAAATTGTAATTAGAATCACGTAGAATGACATCAGAATCAAAACAGTATATTTACTTAATTTGAAGTGAATGAATGCGGAAATTTGTTTGAAATTATCCAAGTGAATTTTGCACTTATCCGCAATCAGCTTCGAATAGTTTCTAGTGTTTTCACTTAGAAGAATTTGAAATTCGAAATAAACGAATAGAGTAAAAGACAAGAATAAAATACAATAAATAGTAAAATCATCACCAAAAAGACGATCGATGCCCCCCGTAAACTGATGTCTTTTTTCTCCTTGTAACAGGATAAACAAAAGAATATTGATATTACAATACACGAATAATATTTTTATAAAATTCTGATATAGCTTATACACGAAGTTAGTCCTTTCGTCTTTTAAAGGTAGAAACAGTCCAAAAATGGAGAGAATATTTCTATTTTCTGTAACTCTACATAACAAACAGTAACAATCAAGAGAGTGATTCACAGTGTTACGGATCATTTTCCGACTTTTTTTAATTTAAAAAATCAGCAATTTTTTTTTTTAAAATGTTAAAAATCTATTTCGTGGTAAATGGTGAAAGAGCAAGCTTAAACTAGACAGAAGTGCGTAGTAATAAGACAAAAATGCCATTACGAAATGAAATTCGATTAAGGTGCATCACGCTTTAATCGAAATCTAATTAATTCAAGAATTCTGTAGTGTTTACCTGAGTAATTATTGTGGAATTTAATTGCTATCAAAAGAGATGTAATAAATGACATCCCCCAAAAATTTAAAATACTATTATAATTTCTATTAGACGAACTTAACACAGTTTACAATCTGAATTCGTCGATAAACTATTAAAGACAATTTTAAAAACTAAACAATAGAAGGAACAGGTCTGAATATTTTCTAAAATTACCTTTAGTAAATATTAAATGTCTTGTCTATTATCGTGTGTACATAGTAAAAATCGATGTATTTTAATTTCCATGATCGTTAAGTGAAATTACTAAACCATTTGCATTTTGATGGTCATTATAAATTTTCGAGTGACTACTACTAACAATATAGTGATTAAAATTACGAAATAGGGTTTGAAATAATCTAAAATACAGGTAAACGTTAAACCAGACAATACAGAAATTGTATTGATATTTATGAATGTTTGATGATGTAATATTGAAGAAACAGTATATTCAGATACCTCGCTTCAAAAATTATTTATAAAGTACCGCTAAGTTCGTGCTGACATTCAGAAAGTTTCGAATTCGTACTGAATAAATTTGACAATAGAATGGCTCAAAATGTGTGTATTTAAGTTTACAATGGATTGGTATTAGAAAATAATGGAACATATGACAGTTCTACCAAACTGCTGCTAGCAAGAGGTCTGTAATGAGAAATTAGTATTTGTTTTGGTGTTACACACGTGAAGATATATCGAAAATCCCGAATAATACTCTGCCATTCTGTTAATAAGACTTAAAATAACGACCTGTATTCAGTGGCTTTATTTATTTAGCAACTCCCTCAGATAGCATGAAATACAGGAGTTATATAATGAAAGCGGGACAAATGTATATTTGTGTGTGATTTTCTGCTCGATATGCGGATTTTACTTGGATTGAACAGATTTATGCTTTCTATTTAAGATTGAAAGCAACGACTAGCTGCTTTGAGGCATCTGTTCAGTTCTAAGCTGATAGAAAATACCTCTGTTTTGTGAATATTAATACTTTTTTTTTATATTTACATTTAGTGGATCACTCCCTCTGACCTGTAGCATTAAATGCTATTGGCTTGAGTTACTCCTCTTTTAATTAATCCTGCTTCGCATATGCTTTGCAGGTAGTTAAGATTACATAGTCGCGGTCGTAGCCGCAATACATTAATACCCGACAATTCTATTTTTTACATTAATTATATGTTTGTTGAGTAGAGTATTTGATATCATTAATTTGACAATAAACTATGAGAAAAATGTTTATGTTCTGTTTTTATAACAAGTTTTTATAAATTCATTGAAATANTTCCTGAATTGAGTTAAATATTTTTATTAATCATCTTTTTAAGAATCAATCTTTATGTTGAACCAAGCTTTACAGGTATAACACGTAAATGATGTTCTGTAGTATTAAACACTGTTTTTTGTGTTTAAAAGTAAAGTTTTAGTTGTTTTAAATTTACTATTTTTCCTGAATTGAGATAAATATTTTTATTAATCATCTTTTTAGGAATGAATCTTTATGTTGAATCAAGCTTTACAGGTATAACACGTAAATGATGTTCTGTAGTATTAAACCCTGTTTTTCGTGTTTAAAAATAAAGTTTTAGTTGTTTTAAATTTACTCGAAATGATTTAATACATCCAAACATTCATTATACAGCACAACATCTTTAGTTGTTATATTGACAATAACTCGAAATTAAATTATCTCAAACAATAATATTTTATAGGAGAGAGCCAAGCAAACCTGTAACACTGCAGAAGGCGCATCAGGAGTCAATTTTTACTGACGATATTGCATAAAATCCAGCTGAAAATATAATATTTGGAATGTTTTTTATATAGCTTACTTAAGCGGTAGACAATCTGATGTAGCGTTTGCTATATACAGTGCAGTATTACATTTATTTCAGGACGAAGTTACTTAATAAAATATTTCTGGAAACGTATCTTCGTCATAGACATAAGCATACCTGAAGTTCATTTTTATTACAGACAACACATTTTTATTTCAGCTAAAAAATAAACTGCATGAAGTTGAATTTCGAAATTAACATTAGGTAATAAAAGGAAATTTATACATAATATTAAGATATTATATTCAGATAAGTATACAGAGATAGAACCGACTGATCTGTTATACAAAAACAGAAACTATTATAATTTAACATTTTCCAGTATAATTTATATGAGGAAGAGGTGGCCAAAGTGATAGCCAACCTCTGTGGTTAACCCGAATGAAAAAACAACGTCAGAAAGTTTTGCAAATGTGGCCTAACCAGATATATTTAGAAGTTATAGCGCTGTATCAACATTCAATAAGTCCATTGTGTGTGTGACTTAACACTTAAAAACCTTGCTAAAAGGGCCCTGTTAGTATTACAGAACAAAAAAGTTTTAAAAATAGTGTAATTTATTTCAATGAAATATATCGTAGAAATACTTTAATAATAACAGAATTTAGATATTTTAACTCTTCATTGGTTAGACGATAAACACTGCGTGCTTGAAAGAATGTGGCAAAATTCTTTGCGAAAAAATTCTCAATAATATAATTCATTAAGTTTAATTATTATGAAAAATACAAAAAAAGTTAAAAAACTAGAAAATCCATTTAAATATCTAAGGAAAATATTAATAATCATTAGAATTTCAGAAGTATGTCATAAAAAATAGAAACTTACGGTTTTTGGTATCTGTGTTGTCAAGAAAACCGAAAAAGAAAAAACAATGTTAGTAGCAATTCCAACATATATGAATCCATATTTCACGATCTTCAATCCTTCTCCGTATATGCCAATATAGAAGGACAGTGTTGTGATTGACAATTGAAATAGGTAGTAAACTGCCAACGTTGGGTTAATCATTTCATCTATGTTCAGAAGAATGTCACAATATTGGACATGTTTCTGAATTACAATGCGAAAATCTAATGGTTTGTCGTTCTCCATGGCATTTTCCAACTTTTCACACAAAGAGGACATGTTTCCATGTAGTGTGATGCCTATATCTAAGATAGACA